TTTTTTTTTTTTTTTTTTTTTTGATGAAAGGTTAGTAAAAAAATATCCTGAAGGTATAATTAGATAATGAAACATATGTATCCTAAAAAATGCCCCTCTAGAATTATTTTCTACCTTATACTGTATCTTGAGGTGTGGGAACTTGTTAGGTACTAAAAACCTCAAAAGTATTTGTAATACCTTCAGTGGACATATGTAACAATGAAACATAATTTGATCATTTTATTATCAGGCTAAATAATAGAGGTCGTTTATTCATAATCAATTATAAACCTGTTATGCATTAGCATTTGCTTCATTAAAAACTCCACATCTTCCATGCATAATGGTCAAATGATTTAAATTGTGCAAGACAATTAGAGATAAATCAACGTGCACAAGAGAGTTACCCCAGACAATTCAACTAACTGAAAATCATCAATCTTGAAAGTGAATAAACTGGGCACTGGTTTCACAATAGAATGACCAAGTTGAGTAGCAACTCTATATCCCTGTACAGAGTAAGAATTAGGGTTAAGCCCCTAAGGCTGGGTAGCATGAGCCATGAAGAGAACAGGAAAAACCCATGCCCAAAAATAGTTCAAACATCATGCACAACCTGCTCACTACTACCACTGGCAATCATCAAATAATCAGCTTTGACATACTCAACATAATCAACTGTACGTTTTTCTATTTTGATGGAGAATTTCCCATCTTCGGATGTTGATGCACTTGAAACGGTTTTTCCAGTCTGCAATACAACTATTGGAAAAGAGTCAGCCATACATATTTTTGTTCTTAGAAACAAACCAAGAAGATGAAAGAACAACAAACTATGTTAAGAACATGACACAAGAGTATCTTCTTACATTGCATCAATAAAAAATTATTTATGTAACAGCTATTTATAATAAATAAATGCGCATAATTTTCTTATTCAACAATGGGTACAAGAGAAGACGTGTGTATACCTACCCCCTCTCTTCTTTGCTTCGGATATAAGGCAATCTATGATAGTAGATGAACTGTCAGTGACCGGAAACACTCTTCCGTCAATCTCAGTCTAAATAGCAAAGGTGAAACCAACTCACTTAATATTTGATGGAGGGATGTATAAAAAGCAAACAAATTTAAGAATGTTATGATGAATACCTTAAGTTCTATTCCACGATCTGAGAACCACGACATGGTATCGGTTGGGCCATGAATATTGAAAAATGATCCTCGTAACTCTTTATTACCTCTTGGATAATTTCCTGCCAGAATCTATACCAGACATCAGTACTAGCATTTATTCGATACCATACGAGCACACATTAAAGCAAGACTAGCTTCCAGATTATTCATCAGATTTCAGATATTGGTCTAACATTAGACAAAACCAACAAAAACTGGCTACATTACCTAATCAAATCTAAAGGTAGATCAAAATACAGCAGGCCAAAGTGAGTGAGGTAAACTTATATGTGGTTTTCCAACGTCAACAGAACCACAAAATATTACACACATGAAACCCGAAGTCTTACCGCATTATCAACACAATGGCCGTTCGTCACATTACATCGACCGCCACCAGAAATCTTAACCTGAAAATACACGAGAATTCCACAATTTAACTTTGACCATTTTCCTAAATAAACAGATAACATTGTTCAAAAAAAGCGGTACTCTCGCACTCTTGCCTTTATGTTCAAGTTGTCTGACACCAAACAACAAGCAAACGAACTTCATCAAAGAAAAATCGAAAAACTACAAACCTTTGATAAAGGTTTCCCTTTCTCAATCACAACCACATCAAGATGGGGCGCCATTGTCTTAGCTCGAATAGCTCCGTACATTCCGGCAGCGCCGGCGCCAACTACAACTAGAGTTTCCTCATCTGACTAATCAAAATACCCAACAAAATCATCAAAATAAAATAAATAGGGCATCGTGATTGGTTTTCGAAAAAAAGCGCAGAAATTGTGTACCTTATCAGAGGAGGAGAGTGCAACTGTGCTCTGCCTTCTTCTGCTGTTTGAGAAAGGAAAACACGCACAATTTCTGCGGGGAATTGAGATTCTCGACAAGAACTCGGTGTGAATGGCGAGCCGCGGCAAGGTCTTCATTTCGCAGAGCGGGAGACCGACGAAAAGGGATGGATTGGAATGGTACGTTGTGTTGTATTGTATTGTACGTATATAATATTAAAATTATAACTTAGATATTGATATTATATTTTGAACAAAGAGTAATTTATTTAAATAATATTAAAATTATAAGTTAGATAATGATATTATGTTTTCAAAATTGATCGTTGGTTAAAATAAGTATTGCATAACGATTTGGTTACATATGGATTATTATATTGATTGCATAAAATGTAGTAAATAATATAGTTTTTTAAGTTTTGATTGATCATGAACAATTAATTAGCTCAAAAATATTAAAGTTGTTATAATAATTGCTTATGCGATTTTAAGGAATTGTAATATGACATTAAAATAAAATAATTTATTTAAAAAATAATAATTTAATCAGATAAAAAAATATGATATTGATTTTATATTAAATAACTTGAATAAAAAGTCTTTACAATATAATTTTTTTATGTTTATGTAACTTTCGTATATCATTTAGTGTAAAATATAATTATTAATTCAACTAATAACTATTATATGATACAATGAAAAATATAATTATTATATAAAATAATAATAATAATAATAATAATAATTATTATAATAATAATAATAATAATAATCTATATCTATATCTATATATATAAAAAGGTTGTTGTTAAATTCCTTTTTAGAAACTTTGACCAAATAAATAAATCAGTTGACTTTCTATGTTTAGACTATTTAAAACAATTGGTAAGAACCATAATAAAACCGAAAGATAAGGCTTTTCAAATTTTCAAATTTTCAAAGATAAGGGTAAGAACCATAATAATCGAACTTCAAAACAAATTAATTAAAAACTTGATATTTGAGTCAATCAAACAATTGATATAAATTGTATCAGAAAATCAAATATTTTAGGACCACATTAGAATTGAATTTATGAAAATTCCACACCAATCTTATCATAAAGTTTCCACATTAATAAAACTTCTAAATAAATAAATCAATAATTTATAATACAGTTCATGTAAACTTATATTATCATAATTTAAACAAGACATGTACATTGCCTCGGTGATCATAATTGAAGCAAGTTTAAACCCATGTTTTAAATACCGGTTCGTACCGGCCGGTATTACCGGTAATACCGGATACCGGTGGTCCGACCGGTACATTTACACTCAAAATACCGTTTTGGCCAAAATACCGGTTTCGTACTGGAAAATACCGGTAAAACCGGCAAATACCGGCCAAAATACCGGTCAAAATACCGGTTTATGCCATTTTATTTTTTAAAAAATATTTTTAATAGTTTTATATTATTTTATTTATATAAATTGAAATTTCTACACTTAACTTTAATATGTTTATATTGTTATTAGATGTTAATTTATTTTAATATTAATTAAAGTTAGTTTTGTATATTATTTATATAATAATAACAAATTAATTTAATATTTATTAAAACCGGTAAAATAGACGGTAATACCGGTCGTACCGGTAATACCGCATACCGGTCGCTACACCGGTATGACGACCGGTACGGTTTTTAAAACATTGGTTTAAACAACATAATTAGTATAAGAGTCCTTAATATTTGACATTAAATAATATAATAATATAGTTTATCATGCTATAGTACTAACAGAAATTGAGTTAATGAGGAAACACGTGTAATGGGCAAGTTAAAACACGTTATAAAATTTAAACAACCCAATCAGTTAATTAATAATGTAAATCATTTTAACTTATCTTATCATCAAATCACAATTATTCAAAAAACTTAAAATGACATTTAATTATGACACATGTGTACTAATTGGTCATCTTTCTACACGGATAAAAAATCTTAACGACTTAACGAATTAATTATTTTTCAAACCATTTGGACTTATCTTATAATCAAAACACAATTTGTTCAAATTCTTATTTCAAATTAATCTAAACATAAATGTACGAATCACAATATATGTGATCAATTTGTTTAGAAACGTTCATTTTCTGTAGATAAAAAGTAATTAAAAAAAATAAAGAGACGACCGACACGACATAGAGAATTGGTCGGGGAAGGAGAGGAAAAATTGAAATGAAAACCCTAAAAATCCGGACTTATGGCCTAATATTTGTTTAATTAGTGTCGATGTTATGGAACATAGTCCAATACTTGATGTATTTTATGAAAAATGCTACAAGTATATAATAAATCTACATATAGGTGTACATAATACTCATATTGAAGGGGTCCACTTGATTTTTTATTTTTAGTGGGTCTCACTCAATATGAGTGCTATTTACACCTGTATGTACGATATTATGTACCTATAGTATTTTTTTTATTTTATATCCAATTAAACAAATGTTATTGTAGTTGAATATTATTATTATTATTATTATTATTATTATTATTATTATTATTAGTAGCCATGTCTTTTCAATTTTATTATGGCTATATACAAATTACCTTCGAAAAAGCACATAAATTATAATTTTTCCGTGCATCGCACGGGGGATTACTAATAGTAATAATAATAATAATAATAATAATAATAATAATAATAAATTGTATCATATTGGAGTAATAGTGCCACAGAGATAAAATTTTTTAGGTTTTATTTATTTTTTCAGCAATTATACATGTATATAGATTGTACGTGATAAGAGGATAACATATACTCAATGAATTGCAGTAAATAATATTAAATTGTTAATTTTAGTTATTAAATCTTTTTGTACCACGATTTTGTACCATAAGAAGTAATTTTCATATAATTTGTTAAGAATTTTATTGTTATTTTTTCAACTTTAATTGCTTTTTAATAGAGGTCAAGAAAATAATAATAAAAGATAAAGGATAGAAATACTTCAAAAAATCAAGAAGATGTTACTATATATAATAAACAAATAAGAAATGTTATAATATATAATAACAATTAGTAATAACCATAAAAATTTGATAAA